CCAATGACACCAAGGGTGGTGCACAGTTCTGCCCAATGACACCAACAATTGGGCCCAATAACACCAATGATGGGGCACAATTCCTCCCAATGACACCAATGATGGGGCACAATTCCTCCCAATGACACCAATGATGAGGCAAGATTCCCCAATGACACAACAATGGGGCACAGTTCATTTCATTAGCACCAAATATGGGGCATTGATTGCTCCCATTGATACTCGGACATTTTCTATTTCTAATGTACACAGACCCTGCCCCCCCCCCCCCCCCCCCCCCAAAGTCTGAAGAACAGTAAACTGGACCTTTCTATATAAAGTTTTTATATAAAATTTTAAGGAAATAAACTTCTGGGTATTCCCCTTCTTCTTCTTGTTTGGAATGTGTCCAGAATGAAGAGAATAGCTTTTATTTTCTCAAAGGTAGCCATTGGGAGAATCAATATGTAACATTTTGTAATGAAATATTATGTAACATGTTAACATTTTTATATAATTCTTTCTTTCTAGAGTTCAATGAGAATACAGAAAGCTGAGAGTCATAGCAGTTATAGAGGAATATTTTACATCTTATTACATGGCAGCGGTTGGGATAAAACTTGTCTCAGACACTCTTTATAAATTTCCCCCGTGTGTCCTGGGCTGATCATCTGTCGCTAACTGCAGATAAATGGTGGATGTAAGTGGACAGCTCCAGCTCCTGTCATTGCTTTGTACAGAATTCCCCATATACAGTACATTCCCTGTATGCATACACCTGTGATTCCAGCCGCAGGACTCTGTCCAGTCCTAATCACAGATGTAAATGAGCCCTAAGGCCTGAAACTCATTTTTGCGCATTGACACATTGCATGGGACCCCAAAATGCTAACCTAAAGCACATGTGTATAGTTCCCAACTGTCCCTGAGTTCGAGGGACTGTCCCTGATTTTGAGGGACTGTCCCTGATTTCGAGGTATTGTCCCTGATTTCGAGGGACTGTCCCTGATTTGGAACAAATTCCCTCTGTCCCTCTTTCCTCCTCATTTGTCCCTCATTTTGGTTGGATCTATAGGGTTGTATATAAAATGCTTTAGTTATCTTTCAAAGAGTGTTTCCCAGTGCTAAACCTTTCATCCAGTTTCTAACTTTCTGCATTGGTAACTTTCAAAGGCCAGTATAAAGGAATAGTAGTGGTAAATAAAAAGCACTTGTGGGTTTAACTGATCCTTTTTGTGTATAATTCTCCTTTAAGGGGTGTGTCCTATGCCTACATACTTCTGCTCAGGGGCAGACTGACCATTCAAGCACTTGGGCCCTGCCCAAGGATCCGGGGTCAGTAGGGGGCCCCATGAAATGCCCCTGGTACCTTTTTTTTGAGTTTGGGCAAGGACACAGGGGCCCCATGATCCCTTATTGCCCGTGGGCCCATGAGTTGTCAGTCCACCCCTGCTTCTGCTAATAGGTGTCCCTTGTTCCTATCACAAAAAGTTGGGAGGCATGTGTATGTATAATGCACAGTAATGCACTGCCATGCTTTGTGGTGGGATTGGCTAATAAAAGAATAAAGAATGTCCAATTTGTGGTCCATTCAGGTGTGCTAGCAGTACATTCATGTGAAGGACTGCCTTGGGATTCTGTCACATGGGTGCCAATGTTTACCCCCCCCTGAAAAGTGACCTGATGTGGATCATTTTTCAGAGGATGGCGAGCAGCAATGTGCAGGTGTTCAGAAGTCAATACTGCCATATCTTGATGATGTTTTTCTTTTTTTTTTTCTTTTAACTGCCGAATGGTGATTTTGAACTGCAGGTCCATGCTACAACGCTGAACCAAGCCTTTGGTTTGCAGTTGCGGCGCAATCCTATTCACTTCCATGGGAAAATTTGAGAGGTGATACCGCCTGTCAAATGGTATGTCATGTTAAAATTGCTGCACTGCATTGCAAGAATCGTGGCCACTGGAATCTGCGCCAGGTACGTGGCTGGTAAAAATGCAGATCAACTGCCCATTTTTACTGCCCTTTGGATGCCCTATGAAAGGAATCCTCTGGTGGCCATACTCTTTGATTTTTTGTTTAATCCAAGTGATCTGCAGTTATTTCAAAGTGATTGAATCTACAAAAAAATCCAATAGTCATAACTTCTCTTCTGATTATTATTATAATACAGGATTTATATAGTGCCAACAGTGTGCTCAGCGCGCTTTACAATACAATTTCTGATTAATTCAGACTCCATTTCAATCAAATTCAATAAAAAGTTGATCGGCCAGGGCGGGAAATTATCGATTGTTTTGCATCAGTTAGCAGCACTGGCGTACTTTGTTCTTGAATATGATTGTATTTCGATTGGTCAGATTATGATCAGGGGTGGACTGACCATTTGGAAACTCGGGCACTGCCCTAGGGCCCGGGGTCAGTAGGGGGCCCCAATGAGATGCCCCTGGTACCTTTTTCATAGGCTTTTTTGAGTTTGGGCAAGGACACAGGGGCCCCATGATCCCCTATTGCCCGGGGGCCCCATGAGTTGTCAGTCTGCCCCTGTGTTGCAGGTATTCCTCCCTTCTGTGTGTGTTTATTATCTGCTCCTACCACCACATGCTGTGGATTCTCCCAATGGCCCCTTTGTCTAGTAGTGACATATAAGTCAATGAGAGGAACCAATGTATGTGGCAGGAAGCAGGGGCGGACTGACCATTTAGAAACTCAGGCACTGCCCAAGGGCCCGGGTCAGTAGGGGGCCCCATGAGATGCCCCTGGTACCTTTTTCATAGGCTTTTTTGAGTTTGGGCAAGGACACAGGGGCCACATGATCCCCTATTTCTCGGGGGTCCCATGAGTTGTCAGTCCACCCCTGATTATGAGATCACACGCTGAAAACAGAGGTGTGACTGATGATTTCCAAGTGTAAAGTATCATCTCAGCTTAACTATCACTCGAAATCCACTTCCCTGTGTGTGGCATATCAATTACATGGGTTGCTGACTTTAGATTGATTTTTCCAATTTGAAGAGATCGTTCAAAAGAGAAATCGACTGTTTATTACAGTGTTTATAGCCACCATTAAATATAACTAAATAAAATGAAAATTGGCAGCGCTTACCCTAATAGATGTGCATAAAGCATATAAATGTATCAAACTGCAAATGAATATAATAAAATAGAGTGAAATAAATACAATTCATACACGTGTTGCATAAACAAAATAAAATAAATATCCGTCCCAATCTTCAGTGTTATCACTTCTCCACCATCGATAAATTCACTGTGTCACTTCTCCACCATCGATAAATTCACTGTGTCACTTCTCCACCATCGATAAATTCACTGTGTCACTTCTCCACCATCGATAAATTCACTGTGTCACTTCTCCACCATCGATAAATTCACTGTGTCACTTCTCCACCATCGATAAATTCACTGTGTCACTTCTCCACCATCCATGTTATTGCCAGTGATTCATATATAAAGTGCAGTCATTCCCACCACTGTTCACAATGACCTGTAAGGCTAGCCATACATTATTTATTTCAGGTACTTATATAGCACCGTCAATTTACACAGCGCTTTCCATATATATTGTACATTCACATCAGTCCCTAACCCTCAAGGAGCATACAATCTAAGGTCCCTAACTTACATTCATACATACACATACTAGGGACAATTTAGACAGGATCCAATTAACCTTCCAGCATGTCTTTGGAGTGTGGGAGGAAACCAGAGTACCCGGAGGAAACCCACACAGGCACAGGGAGAACATGCAAACTCCAGGCTGGAGGTGCCGTGGCTGGGATTTGAACCAACGACGCTAGTACTGCCAGGCGGAAGTGCTAACCATTTAGCCACTGTGCTGCCCTACATTATACAATTTTCTTGAGAGTTTTGGTTTAGATTTACCAAAAACCATATAATAAGAGGTCAAACCTAACAACACTTTCAATGGTATCCAATTAGGCAGGCTGTTGCACTACATAGTTGAAGGTAAATCTAAAGGAAATTGGACAGAAAATTGTATAGTGTATGGCCAGCCTAAGCAACCAGGCCCAATAACACCTTTCCCCAACTTCAGGTGGGGCTCCAATATTGCTCCTCTATAAATAGGTAATCTCCCAGTCACCTCCAGTGCCTCTTCACTTTCAGGTGGCCGTTTAAATGCGTGGTATCCACTCTGCAATCAAAGCTCATCAGACAAAGAATCTCCTCATGGTGCAATACTGTAAACCATCAATTTTATTAAAACATTCTAAGTTGCACTCACATAAAAGAATAATCTCCAATCTTACAATTCAATTGCAAAGAGGGGGCTGTGGCTCCCGCATCATTTCTGGTTTACGGCACCTGGCTCTGCCCGACGCGTGTCGTCGTGGTCACGTGACTTCCTCAGGGGCCAAAATATAGGTCGTTAAAGCGTAGTTCCACCGAAAAGGGGAAGTTCTGCTTTAATGCTCCCCTGCTCCCCATGAAGGATTGGCACCTTTGGGGGGTGGGGGGAAGTGGGTACCCAAATTTGACAGGAACCCGCTCCATTTCCGGTCCGATTCGGAAACGGAAGATGTCCTCCCTTCCTTCCTGTAGTCTTTTGGGACACGTGACAGGTCCCAGAAGACTACAGGACCATTAATGAAGCTCAGCGCTACTCACACATGCGCAGTGGGTACCCGGGTGTGAAGCCGCAAGCTATCACAGCCGAGTGCTCACACTGAAGATGGCGGCCTCCTGGAATACAGGACGGCCGGTGAAACGGGCTGCGGGGGACACACCACGGGACTCAGGAACAGGTGAGAGGCTATTTTTTTTTTAAGTCAGCAGCTACAGTTTTTGTAGGTGCTGACTTATTTTTTGACAGGTGAGTGGAACTCCACTTTAAATATAACTAAAGGCAAAACTTTTTTTTAGCTTTGGATAGCGTGGAGAGAGATTAGAACCCCTGTCAGGTTTTTATTGCTGTCTGTGTCTCCTATTGGGGAGACTTGCCCTCTCACCCTCACTTGTCCTGATGACCATTACCACTGAAAACGTGAAAGAAAACCCCCTAATTTGGGGTTGTCACCAGACCAGGAATAGAGGGGAAATCTTTCACTGTGGACACTGGTTCTGATGACTACCATTGCCTCACTTTGGAGGGATTTCCTTTTACTTCCGGTTTTGGCAATGGCACAGGAAGTGGAGGAAAATCCCCCCCAATGGGACACAGATGGCAAAAAAAAAAAACCTGAGGGGTTAAAAACCTTCCTTACTCTGGAATGAAAAAAAAATGCCTTCAGTTCTAATGTGCTTTAAACCAATGCACCAGGCAGGTCTGAGTGGACCTCCTAACCCGAGTTTCCACCCATTTCTTTCTGGATCTATGGAGAGAACTGCATGGATGGAGGGTGAAAGCAATGCTCACCAGCCCTCTAAATGTCATTGTTTGGGCTCAATATGACACATCAGCCGGAGTCTGCCCGGACACAGAGCTAACAATCAGATTGATCCGTGTGTGGGCACTACAAGAACCAGCCAGATGATGGATCACACAGGGCACACTCAGGTACAGCTGCCTGACACTGACCCCGCCCATCACTACAGTCTGTCAGCGGTATCCAGGAAGTGACGGAATACGCGTCCTTAGAGCAAGAAGATGGCGTCTAAAGGTGAGAAATCCCACAAAGCGATGTTTATGGACATATTTCTGCCGGTGTGTCGGTGTGTGCCGGCGATCTCCAGCATGTAACCAGTGTGATCTGTGTCCTTTCTGCAGGGAGAAGACGCGGGGTTGTATCCTTTCTGCTGCCGTGATGGAGGGGGGCACCGCATCCTACAGGTTGGGGCTGAGGAACTACAAGTTCCAGCAGGCTGTGCTGATCGGTGGATCGCTGTGTAGGGAGATGACATTACAGAGGTGATGATAGAAGAGAGGGGGACATGTTGTAGCAGAAATGATCTAAGGACAAGTGCTCAGGTACAGGGAACATGAAGAGTGTCTGTGTGGGGGGAGTACACCTGTATACTACACACGTGTACATGACTACCGCTGGATACCGCGTACAGCCAATCATGTCTGTGGGGGGCTGTACACAGACGCAGCATTACGTCTGATTATATGCCGATGTCTCATACACGTGGCTGTCATTCATTTATTGATGACTACGCAGGATCCTGCAAAAAAAATGCATCTGATGGTCAGTGTTTTTCTGCCCAGGGCTGGGACAAGGGGTGGGCAGAAGGGGCTGATGCCCTGGGCACAATGGTGTACTGTAGGGATGGGGGCGCCTTCCCTCTGTTACAAGGCTGACAGGAGTAGTGACAGCGGCAGTGATTTTGACAAGCGAGTAACTGGCGGGCAGAGGATCCCCTAAGCTTGCACATCATGAACCAGAAGGGGGGTGCAGTTTGACATCTTTGCCCTGGGTGACCTTGTCCCCGGCACTGCTTCTGCCTAAAGGGTTACATAGTTAGTCTGGCTGAAAAAGGCAAAAGTCCATCCAGTTCAACCAAAAAAAAAAAATAAAAAAGTTATAATCCTATACCCACAGTTGATCCAGAGGAAGGAAAAAAACCCAGCAAATCATGATCCAATTTGCTCCTCTAGGGGAAAAAATTCCTTCCTGATTCCCTGAGAGGCAATCGAATATTCCCTGGATCAACTATACCTATAAAGTTCACCTTTACAGAAAAAAGGGAAATAACACCAGACACCCCCCCCCCCCTCCAGTCCCCTCTGTACTTACCCCCAGGGATGATGCAACCACGTAACTAGTCCAGCTTCCAGGGATTTAAAATTCCCGCTCTTCTCCCTCTTCTCTGTGTAGTGATTCCAGGATGGATCAGAGCGATTCTGATTGGTTAGCATCAGTACAGATCATCTCTCTGATCCATCGCAGAAGCGCTGCACAACGAAGAGCAGAAATTTTAAATCCCTGGACACCTGGACTTGTTGCAGGGACACTGACAGCTCATTATCCACTGCAGACCTGTCAGTTTATCTACTTGCAGGATGTACGGGCAAACAGATATACTGACAGGAAGCTTCAATGAACTACCATGGTGCTCACAGTGCTATGGTAGTTCCTTGAGGACTACAAGCCAGCAGCTGCTAAGGCTGTTGGGACTTGTAGTTCATTCACAAAACTCTAAGGAAGAATGATGTGGCCCAGGGGCAGACTGACCATTTGGAAACTCGGGCACTGCCCGGGGTCAGTAGGGGGTCCCATGAGATGCTCCTGGTACCTTTTTCATAGGCTTTTTTGAGTTTGGGCAAGCACACAGGGGCCCCAAGATCCCCTATTGCCCGGGGGCCCCATGAGTTGTCAGTCCTCCCCTGATGCGGCCACATGGTTGCGCTGTATTCAAAAAGTGACAGCTTGTACAGGGAACTTTTCCCCATACTGCTGTCACAGGGAGGGAGCGGGATCAGGCAGCATTGGGAAAATGTTATACTCACTATGAAACCTAAGGGGTTAATCCTCCACATTGTGTCAAAAGGCGGTTTGATCCTGACTTCTCTGATCCTCCCCTTCTACTGTCCCCAAGCCAACTGCTGATAGAACAGAGCCTTGGGGGCAAGCTGCACAGGCTCAGTTTGGTGTTACATAGTTAGTCTGGCTGAAAAAAGACAAAAGTCCATCCAGTATTGTTAGAGTTTTTAGAGGTTTTTTTTTTTTTCTTGGGTGAGAGCATGTGATCAGCACAGGGCCAATCAGCACTGTCCAGACAAAGGGGCTATGCAGTCTCATAGGACAATCAGAAGAGAATGAAAACTCCTCCTACAAGCTCTAACCAGTGCTCAGCTGGACACTGATAGAAGTCACAAGTCTGCTATATACTGCTGATGAGAAAAGGTATTTAGCAGTTTATATTTACTATAATAATTGCATTTCCATGTTCTGTGTACTGTGGGAGACCAGATATAGTGAATGCAGGGTAGTGTAAAACTTGAAAGGCCCAGATCACAGTATTATCTTTCAATCTGGTTGCTGTGCGTTTTTGGAAGTAGTGTATGTACTACTCTTGGTGCAGTCCATCGCAGTTTCAGCCTATTGAAATGAATAGGCTGAAATCGCACTGCATCTGGATTGCATGTGAATCGCACAGCACGTTCCTGCGTGACTCATGGTGTGAACTGGCCCTAATATTTTGTTTTTTTAACATTCGATTCTGGAATGATTTCACTTTACTGAAGAAAACCACTTTCACTGTTAGAAATTTGTTAGTTTGAGAAGTTTTCTATCCTGCTTCTTTAAATTTTTATCATCACTGTGGTTGAAATCGAACACCGATTTGGCCCCCCCTAGCAGTTAGAAAATTCAATGACTGTTCCTAAAATGAACATTTTGAACAGAATTCCTCTAGGTCAGGGGTAGGCAACCTTAAAGAGGTGGAGATCTACCTGAACAACATGGGGGAAGTCAGAGATCACCAAGCATAGTGTTGCACAGTGTTGCCTCCTTCTGATTTAAACCTCTAATTGCCATACTACCATGTCGTAGTCGTGTGCATTGCACAGGAATCATGGGTTTAACTCAGGAGGTGAGGAGGCAACATATTGCCTCCTCACCACCTTTCAAACACACTTGGATCGCTTTTCAGAGGAGCAGCAGTGCTTGCTGCACTTGTGAATGAGTCTTTTAGTTGCATTCAGCAGCGGCACACTTTGGGCTTGTTCACACATACAGTTGAGGGATGGTAAAACCCAGTTGGTATCACTCAGCATGGGACAGGAGCCGGCAGTACAGAGGAGGCATCGGCTTATGCGGCTCTTGCTCCCTACTACAGCTCCAGCTTTACAAGTAGTCCCTCTGCACTTGGGATGGTGGGTCAGTGAAAGAAATTAAATAATCAAATTAATAATTCGGCACTTATATTGATGCAAGCTTGCAAAATATTTGGTTTTCATGATTAATCATAATTATTATTAATATGTTTGAATGGACGCCTTAAGCCAATAATATTATTTTATTCTTCAGTAAAGTAAGCTGAGATATAAGTTATAGCTCAGACCGAAAGATATGAGCTAGTTAAGCTGAGACCAGCTAAACCAGCTGAAGACTATATTAAGGCATAGCTGGTTAGAAGTCTCTAGTAATATCAAAGGTATTAGGAGTGACTCATTATAGACATATTACTACTTAATGTATTTTTAATAGTATCTGTGTGTATTTAGTATAATTTATAATATTGATACATATATAGATTAGTGATTATACATTGATATGTTGTAAAGATACGTTCTTAAGTTATATTATAATTTAAATATGATAGTTGAGGTTACATCATCAACATATGTACCTGTCCATCAAATCTCCATATATATAGCATCCCCTGCCTTCTATGAAATGGCTTTGCCAAGCAGTAATGACTTCCATACAAGGTATTAAGAATCTCAAGCTATGACGCTTATTTGCTTCATAAAAGGTCCATAAGGGACAGTGCGCGCGCACGCACGCACGCGCACACACACGTGCATGCTGTAAGACAAGATCGTCACTTCCGTCTTCTTTCCAAAGTCTCGAGAAGGACAAGGAGAACATGGAAGGTGCACATGGTCAGACAGCCATGACAATAATGGTGACTTTTCTTTAAACTTCTGCTTGATATTTCTACAGTAGTTTTATCTACATGGAACTGTTCATGATACGCTTTACATTGTTATTTTAAGCCATTGTGTGATAGAATAAAATCACACTTTATTTTTTACTTCAACGGCTCTTTCATTCATAATTGCCTTAAGACACTAAAAGAAGTATTATATGTGTCTAAAATCCAACAGTCAGCAAACCCAGACCGCGATCTACCAGTCACTTGGCCAAAATCTACTGGTAGCTCGCGATGTACAGGTTGCTGACCCCCGCTCTAGTGTATGGCCCGCTTTAGATGCATTGTAATGATAATCATACTCCGAGTGATCTGCTGTCACATGATGAAGGATCCACTAATCGTCTATAGAACGTATAGGATGACATCATATCTGCATCCTATATTTGAACAGATCTACAGAACAGGATTTCTATATTTGTGTTGAGTATCAGACCCGGCTGGCTATGGCTTCCATGCAGGATTGTAGGTGGAATACACACAATGTAACATTTCCAGCATCTGGTATATTGTAGGAGCTGCAGCAGCTGATGTGATCAATCTTATACACTCCCCATTGTAATGAGATTTCCTTTACAAGATTAGCTGTCCTCCACTCCTCTCGAAGTCCTCTTCT